TCTCTTTTATCTCGGATAGACTGCGGGGATTAGCCTTTTCGATCTTTCTCATAAGAGTGCCGAAGCGAGTGTGAGGTTGGCTTTGCTGCAAACAATGGAGACGCAGTGCCTCTACATAACTTGCAAATCGCTCCCGGAATGGCTTTGCGGACTCGATATCTTGAAACATGCCGGTTAAGCGCTGCGTATATGAATTTCCTGCTTTAAGTTTCAACTTAGAAATGAAAGCACTCTCTAGAGTTCCATTGGAGCCATACAACAACCGTTTCGCGAATAAAATTCGATGAGTTTCAAAGAACATGTCTTTGTCGTCTAGGTATCCAAAGAAACGTACTAGTTCGTTCAGCAATCGGTCCCGGAGAAGCTCTTCGCTCACGAGACTGTTGTCGGATAGACTCGCGGCTAAACCATGGAGCTTGCAAAATTGAAGCGTTGTCCCGGTGCCGTTTTTGCTTGACGCTCCTTCTGTATCCTCTTCACAATCATCGTGCTCATCTGCTATGTGAAAGCCCTCAAGAATATTTGATCTTAATAACCGATCGACATAGTAAGCAAGCAAATTGGGGATGCATATCGGACCGAGGGAACGATTCACGAAACCACGAAATGCGTTCTCTATCGCAACCATAATCATGTTCGACCCGTTAACACAGCGATCTGACATATTTGCATGCTTCAAGTACAAAGAGAGAAGACGTTCCACGAGTATGAGGTTCTCTGTGATACTCAAATTCCCGTTCAGCTCGTCGGCATGTTTGACAACTATCGCGTTGCCCTCGTCACGCACGAAGTTAATAAAAAAGTTGCGTATCGGTATAAGGCCGTCTTCGACTCTTTCTAGCAACTTGAAAATCACTTGAAGCTCACTATCGCGACCTTCGCGAATCATCTTATTGGCTTCGCTTTGCAAGTACTCTTTATGGTTTCCAATCAGCTCCGCTTCCGCTGCTTCGCGAACTCGAAGAGCTGAGTCTTTGTGCAAAAGAACGCGTACTCGCTCTTCTTCGTCAGTTAAGCGATTCCTTATTTGCTCAACAAAAAACTTGATGTTTCCATCGCGCGCTATGCGAACGCCTTCCTCTTTGTAGAACTTTCGTGTACGAGACAAAAATCTTCCTTCAAAAACCTGAACATAGAGATGTAATGTGGAAAAATGAGAAGAAAAGTGGTTCTCAAGACCATAGATTGAGTCCTTACTGAAACTTTCGTCGCAAACGTCTGCAGCGCCAATCTCAACAAAGTTATCGACTATACCACGCACCACATCGCGATTTGCATGATTGCCACGCCGGTCTTCGTCTACAAGGTCGAGAGCGATGTCTACAACAGAAGGCAAGTTACTCAAAAGATCTTCCCTCCAGTAGAACATCAACAGTTTGTCTAGCGGTCGCACGGGGTCATGCTTGAGAGTGTTTGCATTTTCTGGTATCCAAAACTGCTGAAGATGGTGCAACACTCGCTTCATAAACCTAACGTACTTCATGGTCGCCTTCCATCGCCGAACGTACTCGGAGAGCAGTATGGTGCCGTCAAGGAGTCGCAAATGATGCAGCTGCACATCCACCAGGTCACGAATGTACTGGCGAACGTGTCCATACATTCGCCGCATTTTCACGGTATCGTTTTGGCTGTACAACTTGGCAACATCGGTGTAGATGTCATTCCATTCCTCGGGGAAGGTCTTAACCGGATTGTCCTGCATATTACGCAAAACTGCTGAAAGGCGCGCTTTCACATTTCGCCAACGAAACTCAAGCTCATGATCGAAGGGGCCATCAAGCGTTGTCATGATGAGAAACGATGCGGCTTTCTCTCAGCAAAACTGGAAACGATAGTGGGGGCGATGATGCCCACTACAGCAGAAGGCAGAATGTATCGTAGAGCTCGCGTTCTGCCACGAAGTGGAGGAAGAAAACAAAAGGTGAGCGCGAGGGCGTGGAGGGTGTAGTGAAGTTTCTCGGAAGTAGTTGCAACCGGTGAACCTTCAACAATATCGTGCCGAAAACACGTAAGCGTTAAGGTGCAGTGCACCACCACGGCAGGAAGTCTCCGCTACTATTTATGGTGACGCGTGAACACTGAAGTGCAAGGTGCTTTGTTGGTGAAGCTGCCGGTGAGTGATTAAGCTTCGTTAGGCGGAGAGGGATGGACGGGCAGAAGAACCCACGAGTGCCAAGAGCACACACTAAGGACCGAGTGAATTGCGGCCCGCGGCTTCATATTTGGGCATCAGGTTGCCACACTTCACATTTGTAGATGTACAGTACTGAACACTGGAATCCTCAGTTCACTCCTGATTTTGTGTCTGTTAATTTCATTGAGGCTTTTGAGCATATGTACTGTATCTTCAAATAGTGCGATGGTCGACGGGTAATTCAAAGTACACATGCTCCATGCGGCTTGCTCGTTCGTTGTGCTCGGCATGCCGGGCCAAGTTCAACGTGAATGAATCTTCATTCTTTCCAGAGGTTGCATTCCACAGGTACGTTCGTGAAGAAAACGAGCAATACGTGAGTGCTGCGATGCTGCGGGAGGTCTTGAGGTGTTCTGAGTCCAGGCACGGAAGCGGCGTTTCTTGCACCTGCAACGTGTTATGGCAGTCGAAAAAGTCCTCAGCATTGGTTTTTATCTTGGGAACAAGTTAAAGGGTTAACCCTTGAGCTTAGCATTACCTCTCTTCTGGTTCACCTCTTTAAAGCCTTGCGTCAACCTTGGCCTCCAGTACCAGGGGGATAAGAACGTGCGGGTGGGCGTGTGGTATGTCCTCCGCCCTGATGTGGTTCCGGATAACGTGCTTGCTCAACCCCACTACGATAACCAGCCATGTGCGCAGGTCGTGCTTCGCTCATTCTTGACTGGTGGCCTCCGTAAGCATTATTGCTATACATGTTCGAGACACCAGGATAGTACGAACCGCTGTAGGGCCGCCGTCCGGGGCTGCCATCCGGGGCCGTGAACATCGGAGGAGACGGATACATATGGCTGGGATTGTGATAGCTGTATTGATGTTGAGAGATCGGGTTTCCAGGACCCCCAAGACCTGCCATCGTCCCACTATGATTGACTGCATGGAAATCAGTCGCTGGGCCGCCCATAGTACTACGGTCAACACTTCCAGGAGCAATTGGGGGATGCAAAGAACCTGGAGGAAAGAACCCTGCATGTCGTGGCCGGTTCGGATTGCCCGCAACGTCTGCGGGATATAACGAACGAAATCGTTGCGGTCCGTGAAGATTTGACGACACGCCAGGCGGAATCTGATTGTTAAACTGTCCAGGGACTTGTACCCCGAAACCGTAAAACGGCGGGGGTATTCCACCAGCCGTCCCCTTGAAGGAGGTCGGTGTTAGTAGTTCTTCAGATCCTTGGCCATGGACGGAGTTTGCTGGGCGCAGTTGCTCTTGGTGATAAGCTGCGCGTGGGGTAGATGAGGTACCAGGCCACATGCTCGGCGTCATCGGGTCATACATATGTTGTGGTTGTGAGCGATGATTAGGCTCACCAGCTTGCCTTGCCGCGAAGTTGCGCCCGTCTACGCGGCCGTTTTGTAGACCCTTGTGATGACGGGAGGGGTTACCGCGAACCTCGCCTGTGACATTCGGCTGTCCAAACCGTCTCCGCTTCGTAAAACCGGCGGCAGCAGGTTCGGCTTCTCGTTTCTTGGCCCTCTTTTCTGCCTGTTTCGCAGCCCTTTCGTCTTCATCATCCGAAAAATCGTCTGTAGCAGTCACTTCCTCATCATTCCAGTTACTTGTGTCATACCCTTTGGTTTGCAGTTCACTCCCCTTCACCCATTTGCTCTTGTGCTTCACAGCGAACACTGTACGTCCTTTCGCTGCACCGGCTGAGTCCCGCTCTTCTTCATTGTTAAATCTCACTACATAAAATGGGTTATCAACCGGCCCAAAAGTTTCATCAATCAATCCGAAGAGCTGCCGATTCTCGAAGCAAAGAACAGAATCATGATCCAGGGCACTCACCAAGTTAAGGTTGGTTGCTTGAGAAAATGAGATGCGGTTGGCTGGCGCCTGAGGAGCTTCGCTGTTCTGGTCAAGAAGACAGTCCTTACCCGTAGAAACAATAACAACGGATTCTAAAACCGACATGATCTTACCCACCGGATAAATCTCATCGTCCGCACTTACAATGATGTTAGGGCGTGGCAATTTAATCGTACCTGGATCAACTTCGTTTCTGGAGCGTAAATGTTTCTGATCAGAGTCTGTCTTGTCTTCTTCAATCAACTCCTTAATGGCATCTATCGCGCTTTTCAGAGGAAGTGCGGGCTTTTCAGGTTCAGAGCTGTCTGATGAAGACGACGATGACGCAAAGGAGGATTCAGACGATTCGGATTCGGAGCCTTCCGATGATTCTGAAGAGCTCTGAGATTTGGAGTTGCCCACATTCACGTCCAAGCTCATGTTATCCCGAGAACGCTGGCGAACGCCACTGGTAGCAGCATCAAATATCCAAGCGACCAAATCAGTCACAGACGCTTCTTTGGGTTTGAGCGTTCCTGCAGCATCATGGCGCAATTCGCTGGCTGGCTGTTCCAATGCCGCTTGTTGCGTTGATGTATCGAGGGCTTGCTCTGACATGATAAGAGAGCACACAGGTAGGTTATGAGTCTTTCCTATTTCAACTCAGGATTGGTTTGACAATGGAAGCTCTTTACTCTGAGCTTGTGTAGTCCCTAATGACATGTTATGATAAGCGTCGGGGTGTTTTGAATGCTGATGTTGATGTATATGCTGTACTCTTGGTAGAAAGTTCCAGGGCTTCTGACGTGTTCTTTGATAGGGACAAGGTAATAGTCGTCGTGCAAGGCAAAGGAGGCTTGCAATTGCATCAAGCGAGGCGAGGCAAATGCGGTCCAACTATCCACCTTGTACGTATAGGTTCAGTGCCCCCGCCGTCGGAGCCGAACCGGGCCTCTGCAACGGCGATTGCGACATATGACAAAAATCAATTTGAAAAAACAAGATCCAGAAGGAAGGACATGCCACCGATGGGGTTCGAACCCATGCTACCCCTCCGGGTAAGCAGGTCTTAAGCCTGCCGCCTTACTGTGTACGTGTTAACCACTCGGCCACAGTGGCCGAACACCCTTGGACCGATTTCAACATTGTCACCGTGAAACAACGTTTATATATCAAGTGTGACACTTCCATTGTGTTCATCTACATCACCATCACGTCCCACCATCGCCGTTGCCTTGTGCGCTTGGTACTATACTCATCGTATCATTGATAACACAGCCGTCATGAGTACAAACAATGCAAAATGGCATCAACGGTAAACAGCAAATAAAACGAAAGAACCGGACTGAATTAAAAGAAAACAAAGTGCGGCTCAGCTGCACCTTTCCGTGAGAACCAGTATAGTCATCATGAACAGACGTTCAGCTTTCATGGACTTGAGTCTTTTTCGAAGTAAAAGGAATGCACCCCGCAACTTGGCTAGCTTCATTTCAAAACGCGCGCACGCCAACAGACGGAAGAATGGTTCTTCCTTTGACCAGAGATTTCGTAAGAATCATCCAAAGAATGCATCTGAATCCAAGCCCTCTTCGAAGCTTATCACTCTAAAACGAATCTCCAATAAACCTGACACTGCTGTTGCCAGTTCCCATGATGAGGCGGGTCAAGAACAGCAACCTCAAGTAAGTGCACTGAAATCGACTAGCTTTTATGCCAAGACAAAACCACTCACCTTATCTGGCATGCATTCTGCGTTTTTCAACAACATCACCACTAAGGCGGAACACGTACGCTCAGACCTACAGCGAATAGAAGCTGGGATTCCACTCCGTAACTTCGAGGTAAATGAGGAAAGCACAACCCACATTGATTCAGTCGAAGACACAGTGGACTTTCCTTCTCCTGAGCCTTTGACGAATGTGTTACGGCATTCAGCTCCAGCGAAAGATTTGTGCTCTGCGGGGACCGTGGCCGATATATCCAAGCCTGACAAAACGCCTCGTCTTCGAGTTTCTCGTGGTACCATTTTTGGAAGGTATTGAACTTGCCGTCCCTCGCAGAGCAAGAACATCTCCTACGTGAGACTTCTCTATGGCCCCCCGGGGACAGTCATCGCTCTTGAGCCGGTCGAGGCCAGGATTGTTGCATGTCAATGGGCTTTCCAGCTTCAACTCATGAAGTTCCCAGTCCGGGCACAAGCTGATCCGCCTTCACGAGCCGTGCCCGTCCTCCGTCTCGCCGAGTCCTTACTGAGGGAAGCGAAATGGATTTGCAGCTAGGTCTCCAAGAGAGATCAACACTCAAACACTCAGTCTGACTGAGTCAGCCCGTCGTCTGACTGCCTATACGTACATTTTACAGTTTACTTGTAGTAATCCCTCACCCCTGGTGAAGGGTTACCACTCTGCGACCAGTTATTGGCGACATCATTATTTTCTGTCTTCTCGTTGTGTGCCCTTTCTTGCGATGGAGAGGTTAGAAAGTTGGAAAGCAGGTTTCCATGACAGACAAGTGAGAATGGCTATAATCATGATACAATCACCTGCAATCAACAGGAAGCAAATTCAGTCCACTTCTACGATTGTAAGTTTGATATAGCCAGATGCAGCTTTGCCGCTTGCGCGCCGCGAACAGGTGTCTCAACATCATCCGGCGTAATAACGTGTTTGTTTCAACGGCTCTGGCACTATCTCAGACTTGAGTTTCGGTGCTCTGGAGCTCCTGATTCAACCCCTTGCACTTTCATAACACGATAGGGCGCTCACTAAGTTTGAGTATCTTCCTTCATGCTCATATTTTGCTCCAGTAAATGTTGGTTTGTTGAGCCCATGCGTATCTACCGACGCTATGAAGCACGCCCATTGCCCCTTTCGCCATGATCAAAATACGCTTCGACAAGTTGGGCACGCACTACTGTTACTTGTCGAGAACCATCGCAGCAAACAGTCGGAGTGGAAGCAATTGCGGCAAGTTCGGCATGCCTTTTCTGGTAGCGCAGCGCTTGCTACATGAAGTACGGAGTAGCAAATGGGGCATTCGTCTGCACCTTGGAATGTCTTGTCCAAGTTACGTCGCCACAGTGCAAGGGCCTCGGCTAGTGACCCGTTTTTCGCGCGGAGCAATAGAGCCATACCCAGCAAAGTCTTTCGCCACTGTGCCTCCGACATACCGATACGTGAACGTGCCTCAACAGTAACAGTCTGTAAAGGGAACACGTCAGGCACACGCATTCCAATCTCCAACGTCACATCAGAGAAACGATATGTTGCCCAGACTTCACGGCCTGCAACAGAACCTCGAGCTGTTAGCTCTCCTTCGCCGTCCTCGTCACCACCCCCTCCTGCTTGAGCACCCCATTCTTTGACCTTCCGCACCTCTGTAGCTATTAGTAATGGAGCAAGATTGGTGCGGACGAAGGCCTCTATGCGTGATGCTACACCGCGTCCAAGATCATGGGTTACTATCTGCCTTGACAACGCTGGTAGTCGTTGAAGTGCTCTAGCAAATGCGATCCCGACTGCATGGCCCACTGCTGTTTCACTGTTGCCATCACGCAGACTTTCGCATGTCGCGTCACCCTCTCCTTCGTTGTCCGTTAGTACTGCCTGTCCGCTTCTTGCTACAATTACCCCGGATGCTGCGTTCTCTTCAACCTGCAGTGCCATCACAGACGATCTAGCTGCGGCGCGTCGTTCCATATCGCTACCGTCTACAATTACCTCGATACATCGCTTGAAGAATTCCTTGTAAACATCAAGATGAGTTTCCAAGTATATCAGACCCACTCTTCGAAATGACACATCACCAGAATCGGCAAGTGTAGCAGGTGAACTTATTGCGTCATCCGATCTCATGAGATCTAAGAACACTCTCCAAGCAAGAAAGTATCCAATCTCTCCAGCTACGGCTTGGTCGTGGTCACTTACGCTCTGACTGGTATATGCGGCCGACCATTCCAAAGCGCGACGAAGCTGTACTGGAATAATTGCATCTACGAAGGCCACTTCGCTTTCTTCGTCCGCAAAGCCGTCTTTAGGAAATTCGCTGGCGACACGGTCAGAGAGATCCATCGTCGCGGCGTGCACCACCGCTGTCAATACTGCTCTTCTTATCAGTACAGATGTACTCGTCAAGTATGGAATGAGGGAGTAAACATCGTTTGCTGGTAGAGGCATTTCTCCATTTTCTTGTAGCAAGGTTCCGGTTTCTGCAGCAGTGACGATCAGATCTCCGCACCATCTTGAGCATGCCCATACACCAATGTTTCCTAGATCCGGGTGCTCAGGATCCTCTTCTAAGAAAGGGATCAGCTTGATACCAATCCAAGCACCCCAATGGCATAATTCATCAATAGTTCCATCGCTCAGCATGTCCAGTTTCGAGCTTTTCACTAAGATTTCAGTCAGCCCAACAAGAGAACATAGTCTGTATGCTTCTACCGGGGAAACATCGCTTGTGCAATTCGAAATCACGTCCTGAAATAGAACGCTGATGCGTGAAACCCACGCGGCCACATCCCTGCTTTTCAAGACGTCAGAACCAAGGCATCGAATGGCCATACGAAGAAGATTTGACAGCGATCCTTCCAGCTTGAGCAAGCGTTCATCAGAAGATTTGACTGAGTCTTTCAGTTGGCTGCATCCCTGTTCAACTATTTTGAGAATGGTATCGTGAAGCCATGGAAAAACGTCAAGTTTCGCGTGTGACTCTCCTCCAGCCCTTGCAAATCCATGAAGTGCTGATGCGAGGATATCGAGAGCAGCAACGCTGTCCACTCTCAGCATATCGCTCAAACTGTTAGTCGCGGTTTCTTCAATAAACTCCCTGAAGGATTCAACTGAGTGTCCCTTGCTCCCGGCGCTACATATACGAACAACAGTCGGAATTGAGGACAAGATAGCGTCGTCTGCATATGATCTCAAAGGGTCTCGTTCGCTCCAGTGCCGTTTTAACTCTTCGCTGATGCCAGTGAATAGTTCCGGTGAAATTTCTGTCATTGCTTGCGATAAGCAACCAAGTACTGCCTCACTCCCTTCATCCGTTTTCGAAAGGAAGAACTGAGTTGTAACTCGTCCAACACGCTGCGTCTCATCAGCGTCTAAGCTTATGAAGTAGTCTTTGAGTAAACTTTCCAGTTCTGCGACGCGTTGCACAAATGTGTTTCGTATTGTATGATTCAGATACTCCACATCGATGCTAACTATTATCCCGTCTCCGAAGAGGAGCCTGAATGGTGTTTGATGCAATATTCCTGATGTGAAAGCAGGTTTTGCGACTGACAAGAGCTTCTTGGCGAGAAAAGTCGAAGCCCCAATTCCATGTTTGCCAAATGCGGATATAACAGCAGATACTGCAGAAGCAAGCTGAGCAAGTTCCGAGTCTTCTGATTCGTTCATAGAACATAGTAGGACATTTCCCATCGTATCGAGAAGAAATGATAAAGTTTCGTATTCATGAGCTGTGATATATGACAGCACATGAGGCAGAATTGATGCATTTCGAACAGCACGAAATGTGGATACACTCACAAACTCTCGGAAAGAGACCTGTGAGCCTAGCCGGGAAGAAAAAGCTGAAAGAATAGCTTCAACGATACGATCCATATCACTTCTAGAATGGTCATTCTGCAGTACACTTGCGACTAATCCAATAATTCTGTCGTGGATTTCTGACGATAGCATCGCGCCACCATCGGGCTCCATTGACGCGCAAGCCAACTCAACCCCTGAGTTAGTCAGTTTGTTATCATGAATATGTTGCATCACTTCAAGAACCAATTGCTCAAACTCTGCTCCCTTTATCGGAGTCCATCCTATATCTTCGTGAACTTCTCTCAACTTCTTTTGAGCAAGTACTGTCTCAGTCATCAGAGCATATTGCAGTTCTTCGGAGCACATCGATCGCAGTTCGCTGAACGCTTTTGACCAAATCTTGCCATTATCAAAACATGAAGAGCTCGTATAAATCCAGCTATGTATTAGAGCGAAGCTCTTTATGCGACTTTGCTCCATTTCCTCCCCTTCTTGGTACAACTGCTTCAACAGCGATGCGCAATACTGTGTTGTTTCTGATAAAAGGGTTTCAAACCCATGTTTGACAGCACAGTCGGAAGTCACACA